GTTTTCCGTGACATTATCACCTTCAAAATAATCCCCTTCAGCATCCACACACTTCTGCATTAGGTGCTGCTATTGCTGGTAACAGTTCTGTGGAACGAGGTCTTTAGAAGACTCTTCTGGGGATTCTCCGTTTTTGCCTGAACTACTTCAACTGAGGTAAAATGGGTTCTCTTTAAGCAAGATTTAACTGTTAGAAATATAAAAAAGTCGCATGGAACCAGATCAGGTGAATAAGGAGGGTGCCTTATCACAGCAATGTTTTTGCTGGTCAGAAACTGCTTGACAGATAGGGCCATCTCAGCAGGTGCATTGTTTTGGTGCAACAGCCATCCATCACTCCACAATTATGATCTTTTTTTTTTCCTAATTTTTTCACGAAATCTTTTTGGTACTTCAATGTAGTAGTGTTGCTTAATAGTCTGAACCCACTGGGAACCCACTCAATCATTACAATTCCTTTATTGTGGAAGAAAGCAATTAACATTACCTTGAATTTTGATTCTAACTTGCTAGCCTTATGGAGACTTCCATTGCATCGACTGAGGCTTACTTTCTGGGTCATAGGTAAAAATCCATGTCTCATCACATGTTGCAACAGATTTCAACAAGTTTGGCTTGTTTGCATTATGTTCTGACATATCCACAAACTCGTCTTTACGACATTGTTTTGGTCGTCGGGCATAACTTTTAGAATAACCTTCACACATATCTTCTTCACGTGTAATTCGTCAGTTAAAATGCGTCTAACAACCTCCTCATCCAAATTAACCGATTTTATCTCATTGCACTAGCACTTAATCTTCGGTCACCCAGGATCCCATCACGAACTTTGACAACGTTTTGATCTGTAATCGCTCACCTTGTGCGCACAGCATGTTCATCATCTCCCACACTGTTCCTTCCCCCTGAAAAAACCACTTATAACTTTCAAACACACGTTCAAGCGATAAAGTTTGATCTCTATAAGCCTCGGTTAACATTTGAAAGGTTTTCATGGCTGATTTCTTAAGTTTCACAAGAAACTTGATGTTGATTCACTCTGTTCGGTTTTTACATTAGACATTTTTCCAGCAAAATACAGTTGCACATGTTCACTCGATGACGCAGTACTTCCAACTGGATTGATCAATTGACGAGGAAGTATATGGAATTCTTTTTTAAAGTTACACACTTCGTCCCTTTTTGTGCATGTGTGTTACATCTCGTATGTTTTTTTTTTGTTACCAATACGATCTCTAACACAAGGCCTCAGTAACTTAGGAGAAGAGCCGACTTTCTCATAAAAGGGGCCTAGGTGCAAAAAGCCATTCGAGACTCCTAAATATTTTGTAAAGTAAAAAAATAATTCAATAAACTATTAATGTGAGCTTTTGAAAATATCAATGTTTAAAGCTTTACGTATGTCGTCCTTGCGCATTTATCTCATGGCTATCAAACGAATAAATGAGTTTTTTACAGTATTTAAAATAATAATGCAATAATAATGCTATCAGCAGCGTAACAGACTGGACAGGTGTATGGGACGCAAAACGACTGTATAGAGAAGCACATTGTTTTCTATAATAAAATGAGAGTTCCGGAAAATTAAGGGGAAGAGTTTAAACATTATTCTCCGGAACTTTTCGTGGATGTGTGGTTGTCTCCAAGTTAAGTAAGAATCAAAAACGACGCCTAGGTACGTACTTAGTTTCCTGAGACATAGGGATCTGTTTGTTGTACATGATGAATGGAGGTGATGTAGAGTATTTTTTGGTAAAAATTACTGTGGAGGAGATTTTTCAACTCTAACACTAATTTTCCATGTATCATAAAAAAGTTCCAAGTAATTCAAGATGTTTATTGATAGCAAAGGTGATTGTGACTTTAAGGTTTTATATGTAGATAGGATGGCCGTTTATGTTTACATTTTATATAAGAAATCTGACCCGTCCTCTAAATAGGACACAGGGATGAAGGGTATAGAATTTGCACTTACATGTTTTAGTGTTTTCTTCAATGATGAAAAGTGATTTAAGAGTACAAAATTTTACTTTATTTGAATAATACTTTCTTTTTTGAGTGGATCACCACGAACGGTTGGCTGGACTTTATACCATTAAAATTCGCGGGGAAAAATGGTACTGGACACTTTTTTTCGTTCTCTGGATATGGTTGTGGTTAGCACCTGGATAATTCACAAAACTCTCAACAAAGATGAAGTCTTAAACTTAAAGGAGTTCCAAAGTGCTGTAACAACAGTTTATCTAAGAAAACTGTGAGAAGAACAAGAGGTAGACTTAAGAGCTCTACTGTACCTTCTGGAGCAAAATAAGATATTCGTAAAGATACTGTTATTAATTTTTTACTAAAGCAAGAAGAACAGAGTCTTTGACAAAGAGAAAGCTGCAACGGGAAACCAAAAAAAAAAAAAAAAATACTGTGGCATATGTGACAAAACACTTTGTCAGGTTTGCATTCGACCTTTTTACAAGATTAGAGCAAAGTTCAATTGAAAAGTGAACCAGCTTGTAAAAAAGAAAGTATTATTCAAATTAAATAAAAATTTAAACTAGGAAATCCCTTTTCATCATTGAAGAAAACATTAAAACATGTAAGAGCAAAATTTATCCCCTTTATTCCAGAGTCCTATTTAGAGAATGAGTTAGATTTATTATATAAAATAAAAACATTTTTCAAATTTTACTATATTTAATTTGTTTAGGTTTAATTAACTTCAGAAAATATTATTCTTCTCAAATTTGTTCAAAATAAATAAATTGAGATAAAACGTGTCAAGGGAACGTTTTAATAAATTAGTCGACATTTAACAGTGAAACCAGTTTTGTCTGGGTCTCTTTTCTACCAGCAATTCCTTCCATGAGTGAATAAAGATCATGTCTTTCTGACTCCTACTACTTACACCAGGAACAACCTATTCGCAAAAAAGTTTCATATTTTAAATTGTTTACACTTGTAAAAAATTTCCATTCTTACAATTATTTTTGCATCAAACACTTGTTTTTTAAAAGAAAAGAGATCGTGTGTGACTCGGTTTCAAAACGGTATAGCATCTGACTCCAGATCAGAAGGTGGCGTGTTCAAATCACGTCCAGGTCAATGAGTCGAATGTTACATTTGCTCCGCTATAAAAAAGGAATGTGTACAAAACATTACTCAAGGAAATATCTTGTCAAACCACCTTTGTGTTAACCGTTGTTTCTGGTACTCCTTCGCCCAAACTTCATGTAAAACATTCAAATCACTGACGGATTGAAATGGCTTTGCTGCTGCCACAAACATAGAGCGTCTTCATCCAGACCTTTAAGGCATAAATTGCAATTCTGTTCGATTCAATGCCAAACATATCTTTTTTGCTGTCCCAATAAGAAATACATGATAAAGAGGATACCTATTATAAAATTCTACATTTTCGTAATGGTAAAATACTGTAGAGTTTATTTAAATATCATTCTTGATCATGTCAATACAATATTTAGAAATAAGAGCGTTTCTGTGGCTCAGTGGCACAATGGTAGCGCGTCTGATTCCATATCAGAAGATTGCATGTTGAAATCACATCTGGTTCAATGAGTTGAATGTTATTTTCAATCCGCAATAGAAAATAAACGTGTACCAAAAATTACAAAAGAAAATTTCTTGTCAATCCGCACACCTTTACTAACTTCGTTGTTTCTGGTATTCCTTTGCCCAAACTTCATGTAAAACATGCAACTCATGGAAGGAAAAATGGCCTTACTCGTGACCCAAACACAGAGCGTCCTCTTTCAGACCTTTAAAAGGAGATTAGAATTCCGTCCGATTGAAAACCAACTGTATCTTTTTGCTATCATGATGATGAAAATGCATATTATACAATTCTACCCTATAGTAATAGTAAATTACTGTACGATTTTCAAAACTTATTTTTCATCATATCAATATAATATTTAGGAATATGAGCAATACTGTGGCTTGGTGGCGCAACGGTAGCGCGACTGACTCCAAATCGGAAGGTTGCGTGTTCAAAACACGTTCGAGTCAATAAAAGTTGTATCGCTGTCACTCTTTTTCCCTTCCGTCTTCAAAAATAGTATTAAGTTAAAATATTTTCAAAGCCAAATCTTTTTCAAAAAAATATTTCTATCGAAATGTCTATTTCTCCACCATATTTCAGGCTTTTATTTTTTATACACCATACGCCTTTTTGCAAAAAATTGAGAAGTCGTTAAAAGCTGGTGCAGAGGTTCCTCCACTTGCTCAAAGATATCACACCACGAACCTGGAGCTCCAATCATCTTTCTTTTATATTCACGTCTGATTTTTGGTTTCTCTCCAGTATAACGTATGAATAAAGGTCTAATAAGAAAGCTTCATGTGGAGTACACAAACACGTTAAATTTGTCAAAAGCCACAAATGAGTGAGATTGTGAAGATTTTAAAATGAGACCAAGTGCCATCCTTGTAATTTGGGTGAAAACCAAATTTACGAGAACCTTCTCCAGTACCGCTTTGTTGCTTGAGCGTCAATAAACAATCAATCCGCACATTTCAGAAGGGGTAGCGTGTGAAAAACAAGGGCGATTCCTTTACTAATTATCTTTTCAGTCTGCTTTTCAAAAATGTACTACAGTAATAAAAAAAATTATAATTTTTTAATTACTTTCACATTTTATACATCTTACGAATTTCACAATGAATCCTTAAATGTCAAAAGCAGCTGAGGCTCGGTGGCGCAACGTAGCGCGTCTGACTCCAGGTCAGAAGGTTCCGTGTTCAAATCACGTCCAAGTCAATGATTAGAATGTTACTTTTGCTCCGCTATAGAAAATAAAAGTGTGTCAAACATTACTGAAGAAAATATCTTGTCACTCCATCCTTACTAACTTCGTTGTTTCTAGTATTCCTTTGCCCACAAACTTCATGCAAGTCATGGATGGAAAAAATGGCTTTGCTCCCAAACCAAACATCCTTATCCAGACATTTAAAAGGAGATTAGAATTCTATTCGATTGAAAGCCAATTGTATCTTTTTTGCTATCTAAGTAGGAAATTCATGATGATGAAGACACATATTATACAATTCTACCTTTTCGTAATGATAAATTACTGTACAGTTCCAAATCTCATTCTTGATTATGTCAGTATAATGTTTAAAAATGAGAGCATTACTGTGGTTCGGTGGCCCAATTGGTAGAGCTTCCGACTCCAGATCAGAAGGTTGCATGTTCAAATCACGTCAGGGTCAATAAAAGTTGTATCGCTGTAATTGTGTGTGTGTGTGTGTTCTTTCCTACCGTCTTCACACACAAAAAATAGAGGTAGACTCATTTCAAAGCAAACTTTTTCTGCCAAAATGGTTAATTCTCTACCATATTTTCAGTCTTTTATTTTTTATAAACCACGCGCCTTTTGTCAAAAAATTGAGATGTCGTTAAACGCTGGTGCAGGATTTCCTCCACTTGCTCAAAGATATCCCACCGCGACCCTGGAGCTCCAATCATCTTTCTTTTATATTCACGTCTGATTTTTTGTTTCTCTCCAGAATTGCGTATGAGTAAGGGTCTAATAAGAAAGTTTCATGCGGAGTACACAATCACGTTACATTTGTCAAAAGGCACAAATGAGTGAGATAGTGAAGATTTTAATATGAGGCCAGGTTCCATCCTCGTCATTTGGCTGAAAACCAAATTTACGAGAACCATCTCCAGTACCGCTTTGTTGCTTGTGAGCGTCAGTAAAGCAATCAATCCGTACATTTCACACAGAAGGGGTAGCGTACATTTCATCAGGTAAGGCGGGTTCAAGCTGGGTAGGATTGGGAATAGATAGAAAGTTATTAACAACTGTATTTATTACTTCTTCATCATCTTTATAATTATCGTTAGTTCGGTCAATTTCAATAAAGTTATTTTTAATGGTGTTAGTGAGTAAGTCAACTTTCTGCAGACCAATGGCGGCCATTCCGGTAGTACAGTTTAAAGTTGAAACTTTAGATATTTTACTTTTTAAAAATCGTTGCGCCTCTCCAAGAGGCTCCTTTAGTATATAATATGTCTACTGTTCCATGAATTATCGCTATAACTTTTAAGTTCGTTTTTGAAATTTTCTTGTTTTCTATTGTAATAAGTTTCGAGGATAGAGTCGAGAGTTTGATGGTAGCGCTTTGTGAAAATGGTTTTTCTGTTTGATAAGCTGATTTACGTACAGAGGTGTGAAGTTGCGTGAGCGTATTCTATTTGCAGGGAGGAGTGACTATGTGTCTCCCCTACCACCTCGGGGAACTCCGAGATTTGAGATTCAAGACCATTAGTGTTATTAATGCTATTAGTATGAAAATTAAAGAGAGAGATGTTTTTATGTAAATTAATTTTGAAGTCTTTTCAATGAGGGGAAGCCGCTCTTGGATTAGAGCAGGGGTCGGCAACCTAGGGCACGTGTGCCACACGTGACACGCGGTAAATTTCTCAGTGGCACTCTGCACTACTCTACGAATTTGTCAATTTTTGATGGATGGAAGTTGACAAACTTCTAATGGACCTCATTTAATGGACATTTACGGAATTACGAAAAATTTTAAAAGATAACACTAAAGATAAATTTACAGTTATTTTTTAAATAATTGAATGTCCTTGCTGGAATAAAAAAAAAAAAAGAAAACAAAGAAGAAAAAGGAAGTCAGAAATTAAAAAATTTTTTTAAATAAAGCGAAATCAAAAATTTAGGTCACTTAATAGTAAAAATAAAAAAAAAAAAGCCATTCAACTTCTTTTGTAACACCGTAGTTGTAAAAAGCGAAGGAATTAGAATAACTATAAAGTAATACCTAATTTTACATTTTAAAACTAAAAATCAATGGTGATTAAGAAATAACGTTTAAGTATAAAGTATTTATGATTTATAAAAAATAACAGTTTATAATTATTTTTTATTTATTATTAAAATTTAGTTTAAAATTAGTTTGACTTTTTAAAAATTATTGTTGTAAGGAAAAACATTATTATCTTATGCGCTTATGTGTAAACAATGTATTCATTAAAATTTTATTTGTAACTCTTTTATCTTTTTATCCTTATTCTTATTTATTATTTCTTACCTTTTATTTATTCTGGATTTTTAATTCATTAGTACATTATTAAATCTGCCGAGAAGTTGAGTGTATTCAATAATAATCTTTTCAATTAGTATATAAGTTAGGAAATATTTTAAGTGTTCATTTTAATTATAAAACTTGTTTAAAATATGTTTTCAAAGAGATATTTTTTTTCATCAAACGATTTCAAAATCGAGTTATTTTTTTATACTTTGTTTTGAAACTAGCATTTTGTTATTTTACCAGAAGGTGAGATTATCAATTAAAGTGAAACTTTTAAAGTAGCAATTTTTTAAAAAATACTTCTTAAAAATTTTAATTTTCAGTAAGTTTTATTTAAAAACAATATTATATACAGCCCAAATATCGTCAATTTACGCAGTAGTTATTTACTTATGTTATGTAATAATTTAAATGCGGGAAAGCAGATGTCCTGCTTTACTATATGGCCGTATATCCAATCGTAACTTAGTTGACACAGCTGTGTTGGTAGAAATTATAATTCACGTTATTGCACTTTTTCAGAGTATTTCTGGTTATTATTTGACATAAGGCGGTTTCAGAATATTTCAGACAAACATTCTTGAAATAATGCTTATCAATAAAAATTCTGAAAAGGAATTACATCATTAAAAAAATTAATATTAAATAAAGAAACAAGGATCTTTATAATTCGTTCTCATTATTTTGTAGCAATTTTAAATTAATGACAAAATTTGAGTATCTATATATTTTTCTAGTAAATATTACGAAAGTTTAAGATACTTGAATCACTCTTTATAGAAGGGGCTGTAAATTTTCTTTTACAAAAATAGTGCTTAAGGAAGAAAATAATAATTCCCTACAAAATGGAATGCTTATAAAAAGAAATAAAGTTTTTATGATTGAATAGAGATAACACTTTGCAAACTTTTGTTAGTAAAAATATTTTTAACCGAACTGCTATAATCTTGCCTGAAATTTTCAACCTTTTCTACAACTTTCTGCTCTTCTGAAATTTCTACAAACAAGCATGTTTCCATAAAACT